AAACAGAGAATACAAACTGATAAAACAATTTCAAACACATCTATTGTGTAAGAGTGATGATGCAACGTCAGTGTGCTTTGATAACCTTGACTTATAATCCTAGACTTCATTATATCACTGCTATTTGAATCAACATTTTAAGCTGAAATGGAAAGTACAATGTCAGGTTTTCAAAACAATGCTGCTCTAAAAATATCCGTGGAGATTTAGTTTCCATATTATAATTTTGCATGCTTTTTCCAACCAAAAATAACCCCAAACAACCAAATAGGATGTTTTCATACAACCAGCTGTCAGAAACAGGTGGGGATGGGGTAAATAGCATGGCTTAACCCTATCAACAATGCAATGCTTATCAAAAAAAATACTTTAAACCTCAATTAAGTGTGATAACTAGTAAAAGTATTTTTGTAAATAGAACAGTGGACTCGTTACATTAAAAACATACTTTTATTCATAACAGGCATGTCAAAACTTTTTTATTACTCAATACTATGAGTCAAAACACCAAGAGGCATGAAGGCATGAACGGACACGGAAAGAGACGTCTCACGGTCTAAGTCAGTCATCTTTTAATGTAGCTTCCTGTCAGTTTGTCGTTGACGCTTTACTTGCCGTTTAATGCGACAACAATGCAAGCAAACAGCACCCTTAACAACATGAAGTCATCTGAACTTTTGCACATTTTGTTATAATACAGTGACAATCTATGTGATAGACAAACAAAAAATGAACAGTTGTGATGTGCAAGTTTAATAATTAAAATGTTCTCTCTTTTTCAACCGTTCCTCTCTACTCTGATACTCCAAAACAAAAATCTAGTGCAATCATTTGTCTTTAGAAATTACCTAATGGAGTCCACTTGTCCAGTACAATCTTAGTATGTACACACTTGCTCTATTAAAGCACCACAGGCATTTCAGAGAACATATTTAAACAAACAGAATGAAGAGGGACAAAGATGGGTTTAGCTTTAAACCAGTTATAAACATATCACCTAGAACTATTCTGTCATCTAAAAATAAAGAACGTTTGACAAAACTATTAAGACATGGTTGTCCAATTAAAATGAAGACCCAAACAAGGGCAATATCACTTTGAGGTGCTGTCAGCACAGTAATTCTTAAGGTTTGGGTGGAAAACATTAAAAGGACAGTTGTAAAATCCTGAAATCTGAACTAATTGAAAGAGAAGGAACTTATAAAAAACAAAAACAACAAAAAAAAAAAGGTCCAATTTAAGGATTTCTGAACCTGTGCTCCCTTATCTCAAAAAGAGCTCAGATTGGGAATAAACAAAATGGAACATCCTAACCCAATGGTTAGAAATATGATTAAAGTTTGGTACGATGTAAAGAAATTTACAAAAGAGTCAGTTACATTGTCACAGTTCACTCCAATATGGGGAAACCGTGATTTCAGTCCAGGTAGATCAGATGCCGTGTTTAAACAATGGGCTCTTAATGGAATAGCCAAAGTCCAGGATTTGTATCCAGCAGGTTCAATTTATATGATGTCATTTGAAGCACTCAGGCAAAAATTTAACATACATAGAAAATACTTTTTTAAATATCTTCAACTTAGAAGTTATATCAGGACAAAACAAAATAATGATATAACCAAACCACCAAAATCCAATTTAGAAGAAATGGCCTGCAAAGATAGCTCAAGCAAAGGTGCAATATCAGAATTTTATAAATTAATAAGTTCAAATTCATTAGAAAATTCAGTTCTAAAATTGGATGCATGGAAGGAGGATTTAGGGATAAATTTGTCAGCGGAGGAGTGGCAGTCTGTCTGCACCAAGGCTCATAAACAAACAATTAATTCACGCTTAAGGCTTTTACAGTATAAGTGGTTAATGCGAGTTTATGTTACACCAGTTAAATTAAACAGGTATAATTTTAATATACCAGACACATGCACAAAATGCTCTGACGAAAAGGGTACATTGTTTCATTGCTTCTGGGAATGCAGGGCAATTAGGATTTTTTGGAGAGAAGTAAAACAAACTATAGAACAACTAGTTTCAAAAGAAATTGCTCTGGATCCTGGTTTTTTCATTCTGGGTTTATATCCCAAAAATATTAAATATACCAAATGTGAGCAGTTATTGATCGATATATGTCTGTTACAATCTAAACGTCTAATTGCACTTTTCTGGAAGAAATCGACAGCACCAACTATCAGACACTGGGTCAGACAAATGTTGACAACTTTACCCCTGGAACGTATAACCCATCTCCTAAAAGGAAAAGGTGATCTATTTGAAAAAATATGGGGACCCTTTATGACGTTTGTGGAAGGTATGGACTTATCTGAAGACGACGAGGACAATTAAATAACACCAGCTTGGAAATCTGGTTGATATCGGAGCCTTTATTACTAGTTTGTGTCTTTTGCTGAAAAAAGTGTAAGAGTATTCAAATGCAGATGTGTATCTGAGAGGGTATTTGTGTGTTTTTCTTTTTGTTTTTTGTTTTTCTTTTTGGTATGGTTCTTGTATTTGTTTATACGGTATGTATAATGGTTGAAAATAATAAAAATATTGATGGAAAATGGAACATCCTGGCTTACATGAAGTATACTGTCAGATAAAAATAACATAAAATAACACTGCTGATCCCCACCAACACACCAGCTCTATAGGAAAACACGGTGGTGGTGGCCTCATGCTGCGGGGATTCAGGGAAATTGAAGCTGGTTAGAGTTCTTTGAAAGATGGAAAGCAGATGGAGTTAAATAGAGGAGAAGCATGGAAGTAAACTCTGAGAAGAGAGTCAGACATTTACTTAGTAGAAAGAAAACCAACCCTTACGAGACAGCCAGAGCTGCACCTGCACCAAACACGATGTTGACCCAGGACAACTGACTGTTGCATGACTATGCAAAATTTTGTGTGCATCTATGTCATAAAATACCAAATCTTACATTAATTTGTTAATTGTGACATGACTAAAACGTTCAAGGTTTAATTAAAAAGCATGAATAGAGAGACACGTCTTTCAAAAATAATAGTGTGAAATTTGTCAGCAAACATCAAGTACCAAGCGTGTGCTACTTTTTCCTTATTCTGGTTTACATGCTCTCATCAGCATAGTGACAGAGCAGGGACGGTGGACAGAACACAGATGTTTAGCTGGCCCACTATTCATGCACATATTCAGGGGCGGAGCTAGACTAGGGGCCAGGGGTGGCCATGGCCACCCTTAGCCAATCATTGGCCACCCCTAGCATTTTGTCCCTCTAATACAGATGATGGCAGCAGTAATAGTCTGAAGGGGAATATACAAACTTATTAAACATTTAAATTTTTCATATATTAAAAACTAGTTGACAACAGAAACACTGTGGTTGATTATGCACATCAATATTCAATCATTAAAGATGATAAATACAGAATTAATGCTCTTTTCAGAACTAAATTTTGAATTATTTGGGGTAAAGATAAAATTATGCGTCTCTGTAAGTCAGCTAGGAGTATTCAGTTAAATCATAAATAAATAACTAGTTTAATAATAACTTAAAAATTCATGAAATAATATGTGGATATTGGTACATTAAAATATCAAACCTGAACTCAAACCTGAAAGAATTTTGTCCACTATACCTTTTATTTACACAGCACAGGTGTTTAAATATATGCATCTATTTGTAGCAAAGGCTGCAGGAAAGTGTAGTTTGTCTTTATTTGGTAAACATGGATGTTGTGCTCGTTTCTGTTGGGACCGTGTAGATTGACCCAAAGGTTCTGGTGCCTTTCGGCCTTGACATACACATATATACACACGTTTATACTAGGGATGCACGATATTGGGATTTTGGCCGATATCCGATATGCCGATATTTTAAAACTCATGTAGCCGATAACCGATACCGATGTTAAAGCTGGACAAAAATAAGTAGTCATTGAAAATAGCAGTTTTGTTATCCATTTCTGACACTTTGAAAAATAATATACTCAAATATATTTTCATATGCTGATATCAAATTGATTTTTAAAAACGCAGTATCGATCTATTTTACTTTCAAAATCTCGTGAAATTTCATCGTTCTGTTACAAACTCTTGTGATATTTTGCAAATTCTTGTGAGATTTTGTTAGTAAAATAGATCGATACCGCGTCAATATATCAACCTATAAAAATATGGCAAAATTTCGTGAATTTTCGGGGGATTTCGTAGCATAACGATGACATATAGCAATATTTCATTAGTAAAAGAGATTGATATGGTGTTTTTAAATGGCAATATATCAGCATATCAGTTTTTAAGTCTGTAAAAAATAAGTTTTTGAGGAAGAAGAAGTGTTTATTTTTTTTTTTTTAGACTTTTTTAGAAACTCAGAAGCTGATCAAATATCGGGTTAAATATCGGTGGGGTGGCCGATGTCCGATCTTCAGTTTTAAGGCCGATACAGGCCGATACCGATAGGGGGCCGATTATATCGTTCATCCCTAGTTTATACACATATATGTACATACATGTATATACACACATATATACACATATAAATATATGTACATATACATGCATACATATATATACACATACATACACATATATACACATATATATATACATATATACACATACACACACACATACATACATACATAGTGATGTTAGTTATAAGACAAGCAGGTTGGACTCAGTTTCTTCCTCTAAAGTACAGAAAAAGACCAACCCCTTTATTGAAATCCTTTGCACAGAAGAAGCAGGATGCAGCAGCATGTCTTATTTAAAAAAGAGGCAAAAAAAAAAAACGGTTAGTCAAAGCTCGCAAGTTTTTCTTAAAAAGGACCAATGAGAGGATCTAAATTGCACTGAAGTCAACAGCTTCATGCAGTGCAGCTGATCACCTGCAGCAGCAGAGAGGCATGAACAGACAAACAACAGCTCAGCCACCCAGTGAATAAGCACGCGCTGTGTTCCTCTCTCATGTTTCCGATCTGGATTAACCACACCGATTCACAACCACTTTAGCAGCCACACTACTCACCATGTCCTGTTGCGGAGAAATATCAGTTTTATTAGAGGGTGGGTGTAACTGATCAGCCCGTTCTTGGATATGCTGGTGACCCGGAGTCTGTGGTCCAGAATGTGCAAGTCCATATTTTCCTGCTAACGAACAGTTCCTTCTCCACTTAGCTGTTAGCGCAGAAAAAAAGGTATTTCTAGCTGAACTCTATCATTCAAATGTTAAACATGAACCTGAGTGAGGAAGGTTCCAGACCGCTGTAATCACTAATATCCCGCTGGGCTCCTCTCACAGGACGAGAAAAACATCCGACCAAAGCAGCCTCCCTGAACTACTGTATATTCAAAAACAAGGGGCTGACCAGCGCAGCCACGCCCCCTCATCTTAAAGCTACAGGTTTGGCACGTGCGCTTCCAAAGCTGATATTATATTTCCGTTTTGACATTTCAAAATAAAAGAAAATAGTTTAAAGGTTAATTTGACATTTGTTTTCCATTTCTAAAGAAATTATTTTTTTTATAAGCTTATCAAAAACATCAAACTTTATTTAACAATTATGCCTTTATATATTTATGAGTTACTATAGTGTTGCTACTCAAAATTACAAGAGTGCCCAATTTAGATAAAAGATATGTATAAGATTCGAAACGATTTAAAAAAAAAAAACCCAATGGTCCAAAAATGGTTAAAGGTGGCCTACATATAATTCTAATCATGAGAAGGTTAATATAAAAACCGGTTGATCAGTCAATCATCCAGCCGAGCAATGAAATGTTTCCTCTGTTTTATAATTTCAGGTTTATATATATATATATATATATATATATATATATATATATATATATATATATATATATATATATATAGAGAGAGAGAGAGAGAGAGATGATATTTACCTTTTATCTTGGTGCAAATTATGAGCTCAGCTTTTACAGCACCTTGCACACAGACAATACTTTAAAAAAAATTAAGATGTAAATCATAACTTTTGCTCAGTTAAAATGAAAATAAAAACTGCTGATACTCAAAGTGAGTCACACTGTTGACAGTCACCTGCAGTTTAATAGATGTAACTATTACATAGCTAATTCACGGTGATTAACATTTCATGATTCTATACATCAACAAAAGAAAACATGTTTTCAGAGAAATCTACACAATCAATTCAAATTTTGTTCCAGAAGACATTAACTTCTTATTCTTCTCAAGGGTTATTTATCTATAACTATTAATAACATTGACAGACTGTAAAAAAAAAAAAAACATTGTAAAAGTAAAGATTAAAAAAACAAAAAACAAAAAAGAAAAAAGCGAAACTATTTTCCAAATTGGTGTTATCTCAAAGTAAAAGCCTAATAATTTTCAGATTTATAACATATTTCAATCAATCCAACTTTACCAAAGAGTTATCAGTATTAGCAAATTAAAAGTATTAATCTTCAAAAGTATTTCTAAGCTTACATAAGTCCACTTTTATTTTGAAAAGTACTACATCTTAATAGAGGGTGTGAATTTCCACTTGGTACAGTGACAGGGCTTTCTGTACACAATCAACCAAACAGCCAGATGAGTTGACAATGAGTACATAACATGAGGTACTTTTCTTAGTATGCTGTAAAAATTACTCAGTATGCAATACAATTTTCTAAGTATGCTATAAAAGTTGCATGAAACTAACCGTTCAAACTTGAAAAAATAGTAATGACTGGTATCATATCATGATTAATCGCCCAAAGAGCTCAACTGTTGCCCAAGGCATCTTAGTCTAAATAATCAGTTTAACTATCAGAGTTGGACATTTTAAAGCATAGTTCCCTCTAAATATTTGATTAGTTGTATGGAAGAAAACATATACACTTTGAAAAATTCCCCAAAGTGCACAATTACATCATTACTTTTTTTTAAACTAGCTGGAGTGTGAATACAAAGAAAGACACTGATGTAACATGGATCATCCAGCAGACTTAACACACAGGTGACTCAGCTCTTGGGGGGTGGATGAGGATGTTGGGGAGTTTTAGTCATTCAGTTGCTGGTAGTTAGAGTCAAAACTTCACTGTAAAGGTGAACTCTTGGTAGGAATCATTAATCTGGACTCCATGCTCCTCAACAAAGGCACTGGGAACAGATAAAAACACATAATATGGCATTACATGAATTAAGAAAGGAAGCTGTGTTCTCAATATCTAAAGTTATTTCAAATGGCTCTTAATCTCTTTTCCAAAATTATCCTATCTAACCCTGAACCTGTTATTACCGGTACATCCCTAACTGGGTAGCCTCTCATTAAACAAAGCCTTAAAAGACAAAAATTTTACTCACTTATCAAGGTATGTTCTATAATTTCCTTATTATGGGAAAAGATCAATACCTGAAATCTCCAAATTAGTGTTAAATTAATTCCCCTAAATATTTTCAGAGGTAGGAGAAAAAAAAAATTCAGATGCTAGAACCCTCACTTGTTTTTTTTCTTCACCCTGTTCACTTGTTTAAGTGATTTTATGTAAATATCATTCCTTTGCCTGTGGAGTAAAGCTTGAAATGCAAATAATTGGAAATAATCTCTCCACAGGCTTTTAGTTTAATGAACCTGGATTACCTCTGATTAATCTTAAATTATAAAGGCTACAAAATAACCTACACAAAGCATTTTTTAAAAACAAACAAGGCCCTTTATGAAAAGTTATTACCCCATATATCTACAAGCTGGTTGTGTCAAACTTGACATAATTTTAAAGGCTATAGCGCAGCATTTCAACCAGATCTGAGGTCAGACTTAGTAGGCTGCCTAAAGAAATGTTTTTAACCCTCAGAATGATATATATTGTCTATGTGTTTGATTGGTTCTTGAATGTCCGAAAGGTTCTATTTAACTAAGTTCTTGATTTTACAAGTAAAGTGGTAAAAAGGCTGTTAAACAAATCAACCAAAATACAGATCAGTTTGAAGGCAGCTAATTCAAATTTCATGATATTAACAAGGACGCAGATATGTTTTGACACTGGACCATTTTAGTTTGGAAAGCTACCTTTGATAAATAAAACCAAAAAGGAAGAAAACTTGTAACTAACAGTAATGCTGTGTAAATAAAAAAATAAAAAAAAGTGCATGCATAATGTGGTAAATCTTTTTAGACAAGATTAAGAATACAATTCAAATCAAGTCAAAAAGTTTGTAAATTCTTGGCATAAAAGTCACTTATATAAACTGTATGTTTTCACATCAATAGCAAACCCAATCATATTTTGTTACTTTAACAGAATAGTTTTATGTTAGCAGGGTAGGACATAAAACAGTTTTGTTAAAGTAACTAAATATGATTAAGTAAATGCCAAAAAAAATATTTTTTTCCAGCAAATTAGCAAAGAGAATATTGTATTTGTAGTCATCTTACCTGTATAATACACATTTACATCCCAGCCCTCTTTCTGCCAGGCAGAGTTTCTTGTCTCCTGTCGGGATTGAAGGCTTTCATAGGCTGTAAGGAAACATTAAAATATCATATTAGGTGTAAGTTAATTTTAATCAAAATTCAAATTACTTTAGATGTGACCATTTTTAGGTTGTGTGATAAACAGGCATCCAACAGAGAAAAACAAAGATTAAATTAAGCTTTTTTTTATTCACCCTTCTGTTCCTCTATTGTGTTTCCTATTTATCATCAGCATCATTTTCTCTAACCCCCCCCCCCCCCCCCCCCCCACAAGCTTGAGAAATGTTTGGTTTAACACCTAGGCCTGTAAGGCTTGTCGATAACAAGAGACATTATAAAACATTTTATGATAGTAGATATTTGTTTATCAGAGGTATTCATTAAAACAGTGGGTTATTTTCCACTGGCTAAAAGTCTTTACATGAAGCTGAAAATGTATGAACAGTGTTCCTTTATCATAGGTAAACTAGAAAGAAAACAATAAAAAAAATTTAAAGGGTAACATACATTAATGAGGTAGAAAAAAACTGTGGTATGGTTTCTGCTCTTGAGGTCTAGACAGGACACCTGAACATGAATCCACCTGTTGAGGTTTTGCTTATAAAGCAAAAATATAGATATTGAACCATGTTCCTTCTTTGGCCTTTTTTTAATTTCATAGCTATTTTTTATTTCAAAGCATAGCTGCAGTCAAAGCCAACCTTAGGAATGAACTCACTTTGCTGTGGCACAAGCCCCCTCAGAGAGAAAATACATTTATACAAGATATGCATACAAAACTTCTGTATCTATAAAAGTTAGGGAAGCACCTTTTTCCCTAACTTTTTTCTAGGTGTTGGTAAATTGTTCTGTGAGTAAATGCCTTGTATCCCAATGTTGCTTATGAATAAAACATTAAATAACCTATGTATCCTTCCCATCTGTCTGAGGTCTGTGATAAGAGGGATGGGCTCAGCTCAGATGTGACCTTCAAACCTGAACCTTAATTGTCTCAGACTGGCCTGTGGTGGTCAATACCAATCTAAAATTAAGCATGCAGTGAGTGTTTTATTTTGCAATTCCAAATGCACCACTCTTATTCCTGCCTTTTAGATAAAGTCTCCCCACAGCAGATGCCTGTTGCTGAAACAGGTTATGGTGTGGAACAAACTGAAGACCACAGAAAGCCTTGGATGTTACAATATCACAATTTACTTATGTTGTGCAGCTATATTCTTACTGTTTTATGGAGGAAAAACTGTTCTTACAAGTGATGATCCTAATTTCCAGTTGTTGGACATGGTCCCCCAAATTAAATTCTGTTTTAGAGCTCATACACCGTTGGACTGGCCCAGGTTATAACACAATTGTAAATGTAATCACTGATGATTTTACTTCAGATCTAAACAAGAGCATGGATATATATTGCTGAGTGCTGCAATATGCTTTAAACTGATTCAGCAATTGAATAATTCCGCTCTATAACCCAGAATAAATAGAACAAGATGGCTGATGTGATTTTTTTCCCACAAGGTTTAATTTCTCTTCCAAAGACTCTGGATATGATGATATACGGCAAGCATTCACTCACCCCACAAGTGATGAACAACATACAGGTCACCAATCTGGGAGAAGAACCCACCCACTGCCTCGTTGTTTTCTTGTCTGTATTTGATTGCCCTTGCCCTGTAATGGGAGAGCTCCATTTTAGGAGTCAGATACTCACAAAGACACAGCTCATGCTTACTCAAACTCATGTTTTTAAGCAAATGAAGCTAGTCTTACCAGCGGTTGCCCCATTCAATCATGGTTCCTGGCTGAAAGAAAGAACAGCTTTGAACAGCTTTAAAACTTGAATCAATTTAAAAATGCAATAGGAATATCTTCTTTTTTTAAATGTCATTTATGGCTTTAAAACTCATCAGAAAAATGTGTGTTTATC